CCCCCCCCCCCCACTTCGGACTGATTTATTTGTTGTTACTTACTGTAAGGGTGATTGTCAAGTTTTTGTGTAAACTATTTGCACAATTTTCTTTTCATTAAACATGTAGAATCACCAGAGCTTTCAAGTGTTTGGAACGTATTTGAAAACCCTGTGCGCTGTTTGCTGTTTGGTCCCAGTTAATTCTGAACGAATTAACTGGGACCAAACAGCAAATTTATCGTTCGCATTGCATATGAATTGTAGGTTTGTAGGTTTATTCACAAATCCGAGTCAACGTTTCGCTCATAGACTGACTGCTATTCGCACCGCTCATCCCGCAAACGGATATGCATTAGTTTCCAGATTTGTCATCATCGGCCTTTGTTGATAGACACCTTCGGTGTAACTCGGTTCCATAGCGTGGATATTCTACCGGAGATGTCATGCGATCCACCTCTTCGTACCCCAAAACTTACTGGTTGCTGGCTTCTATAGCTTTAACTATAGATCCATCCATCCCACTCTTCCCGCAGTTTGGGATACAACGTTTCAAACTATGTAAGAAACGAATGGGACAGAAACACTTCGTTTTCGAGGTTTTAGTATCTGAAGAAAGTAGGTTCTAATATGCGGTACGTATTGTGATTGAAAGCGAAATTCCTCTCCCGTCTGTTCACCGCCAAAGATATCTTATTCTGTTTTAGGCAACGTGAGAATAGCCAGATTCACGAATGAACCTATGAAAATGCTGGGTGGTATAATACAGTATCAAACTGAACACCATTCCACCTTTTGCTTCGAGTCTGTGGCCTCGATCGTCTACACAACTGAGCGCTGCCTTTGGGGTTACGAAGTTTTGACGACTACCTTGGTGGGGGGGGGGGACAACAGTCGTGCACGTCACTGTTTTCTACGAACATTCTTGGTTTTCCAATGTTATGCTTGGATGAGGCAGTGTTTATGATATTCTTGTCTATCGGGCGTAAGTGGCGAAAAAAGCAGACAACTGTTTCGAGATTGCCACTGATCATCCGCTATCCGGAGACTATTCCGATGGCGTACAGCTTCACTGACCCGGGACTTAAACCAGCCTACAACTGCCACTATTGAGACTGCAACCCTTTTGGGATTACATTGACGAACAGATATTTTTAAACAGTATGGATTGATGAATAGGTTCGGGATATTTGACGTTTTAGTAGGAATCACCGAAAATTAAAACGACAATACGATAAAATAAATAATAATCTAATGAACTTTTGGAAGATATGATTGTGTCATCAAAATTCCTTCCTTGTTCTACTTTCCGCGGCACCAATTTGATGCCGTTTGTTGTATAATCGTTCACTACGAAATTAATTTTCCGATAGCTATTCGCAGTTTTAGATTTTGTGGGACGCAAGAGATACGTACTAAGAAATTCCTTCTTCATCATGCATGCTCGTCATTTGATCAATTACAGCTTAGTTTGTCTTCCTATATCATGGTCTGTCGACCTTGCGGTCAAATGATTTTTTTTAATTGGTGTATATCGAAAATCAGCAATCAGTAAAACTGACTGCACCGTATTTTTTAGACACGGTTTCCATTCAGGAGTGCTTGTTCTCTCTGTCAGTCCCTTCAACGAGGTGGTTAACGGAGCTTACACCATGCTCCCATTGGCCCAAAACTGTTGTGGTAAATACAATTTCTCTCCTATTTCCCATTGCCTTAGTTTTGAGCAGTAGTTGGGTTCTCTCTCTCTCTCCGTTGCTCTTGGTTGAGTTGCTCCACTACTGGGATTCTTACTGGTGATGACAGGTTCAGTACAGAGTATTCAACAAGGAACGTTATTGTGATCGATTAAATATACACACTTCGATTGGTGAACATACTGGGATTTTCTTGATTGTTGCATTTTTCATTGTCATTCTCCGGATGAATGTTATTTTATCCTAATAGGGTTTTCACCACAAAAATGAATCACCCCTTGTCATTAGTGACATTAAAGTTGCTCATGTTCTGTTGATGCGTTGTGCTCGTGGTTTTCTTTCCAAATCCGTACTCGTACTGATATGAGTGCTTCGTAAGTGCATTCTTTTCACCTAGCGTTGTTGTTTCATCCCAACCGTTTTCACTAATGCCCCTTTCGCCCATCCAAACCCGGATTTTCTTCCGGTTCTTTGCAGACGAATTGATGACGTTTCGTTTTGATATCGAAATCTCATCCGGCGCACCCCTTCATGTCTCTTTTGATCATCCGTGCGATCCCAGTCGACGAATTGATTGTGAGTTGCCTCGATTCGTAATTATTTTCCCCCTCATTTTCACGATGTTGTTCTTAGTTTCAGCCTAACTCTTTGGCACGTTACGGATGCAATAGCCCGGGTAGACAAATATACTTGCTTAATTTTTATGTTATCTATTGGACCGAAAATTTTTTTTGTTTTGAAAGTTGACTACAAAATATATCCTGTGTTTTGAAAAACTAGAAATCAAACACAAAAGCTTAAAAGTTCTACCGCCGGGATTCTACTAGATTTGAATCAGGTATTAAATTCAGACCTAACTGTTTAAGAACAAGCTTCCGGATGCACATAAATGGATACGACAGAGGGGTGCACTTCATACAATCTGGAAATTCTGTGCAACGCTTTTGTCCTTTATTCAGCCTTTATCATCGCGTCCTGATAGTATTTCCAATGAGCCTGTTGGTGCTTTCACTTTGGTCTGCATTCTCATTCCTTGATTATCTAAAGACTGGAAATGTGCATTCGATGCTCGATACTACATTTGTTCAGTTTCTGGTGTTGGTAGGCAGCTGTGCCATCCTTCGACCCCATACCATATCTATCTCTTTGAGGCATCTTGGGCGGTGGTGGCCATTGGTTAAATCACCAACATGTGACCTGTGAGTCCCGAGTTCGAACCGCTCCAGCGCCGCCCATTTTCCCAGACAGCTTTTGTATGACCGCGGGCCCCCTTGCTGATTATTGACTATATATTTGTATATTCACTAAATAAAAGAGAAAGTAAAAAGACATTTAACATTTATTTATTTATATTTATCTATCACCCATTCTGAGTTTAGTCTGGATAATTCAAACACGAGACATACCTTTGATTTGACCAGTTTAGTACTCGGCTTTAGTTCCTCCTATCATGGCAAGCATTCGAGCGGTATACATCATCTTCGCATCATATCGGCAGGTACGATGTACGAATCATACAGCAATCACCTAGCTTTTCCATTGAGTGACTTCACTCCCTTCCTGAAAATTGGTCGTACCATTGTCCATTCAATGCAACCATGTAACAAGTTGGGTTTATTGTTATTATTATTATTATTGTTATTATTAAACAGTTAATAATCTATAGGTGTTCCGGATCATTTCGAAAAAATTGGGCGTTATGCTCATGGTAACAATAGAATCAGGTTTGTTTTAGCCACAACGTGAATACCAAACCACAAGATTTCGGTGACAACGTTTCGACCTTGGAAGGCCTTTGTCAAGTCAGTTTAATCGGTTTCTCAAAANTTTTGAGAAACCGATTAAACTGACTTGACAAAGGCCTTCCAAGAAGGTTGAAACGTTGTCACCGAAATCTTGTGTTTTGGTATTCATGTTGTGGCTAAAACAAACCTGATTCTATTATTATTATTATTATTATTATTATTATCATTACTGTGAGATTTACTCATCGCGGCGTGGTGTTATATAAGAAGCCCATAGCCGTTTGCTTACTATCGAGTCCGTTCTGCGTGCAATGGTGTATACCGTTCACTGATTGGTAGACATTGTGGGCCTCTTTCGGAGCTGTATTGTTTCCTAAACCCAAAGCATAGTAAAACGCTCAATGTTTTGTGTTTGATAAAGACAGAAATCTCCCGTCCTCTGGAACATGCATTCGTGCAGTCCATACGGCAATTCGGATGGGGTTTTGTGCCGTAACTGCATGTTTCTTTGGTAGTTTCTTGGATATTAGGGTTTTTCTTTTCTTCCGTCGCTTTATTTCTTGAGTGATCTTTTACTCCGGTTGCGTATCACTCGGCATTAGTTAATTCCCCTTGCAGCTCACTCACCCATCGTTGATCCGGATCACATGAACATGCAATCGAGAAACACGAATGCACCAGAATGATAAAATCATCCGGTTTTTCTCTTTCCGTCCGTGCTCCTACAGTGTCCATCCAAATTGGTCCGTTTGGAGTTACCCACGCACAGCTGAATGACGTTTTCCTGGCTCATGATACTCACTATCTTACGGTTTCTAATTTGGATCCAACGGAAATATTCTTCCGTTCGCATTCCTTGCCCGTTGGTCTTGTCTGGTTGCTACTTCGTCTAGGTTGTCCAGTACAGAGAAGTCTTAGGGTTTTGGAATCATCACGTTCACTTTCCGCATTGAACGAAACCTCCCGGAACCATCGATCCGGGTTCGCTTCAGGTCATCAGCTGACCACTGCCACAAGACTGGAACAACTTCGGGCTATGCTCAGTCGTGCCAAATCTCATGTGCTCATACAAGGCGCCACAGGGACGGGGGGTATCCTAAGCGGAGCGGATCGTTTCGCGGCTCCGGAGCTGGACACTCCCTTACTTCATCCGCTGCCGACTATGCCGTCACTCAGTGCACGAAGCTCGCTGAGGCTGCCTCCCTTACCCCCGGGAGTGTTGGCTACTACACCACCAGTCCTGCCACACACTGAACACAATAGTAGTCGTGAGTACTTTTTATCCGTTGTTATGCCATTGGTTAATGGTTAATCCCCTTATGCCGCTGGTGAAGTTCAGTTACCATACTTTACCATACTACAGGAATTACAGACCAGCGAACTACGAGGTATCACACAACGATAAGACCTCCGAAAAGGTATTATCCAGTGCCACCGAATAGTTGTTTGAAGTTTATTGTCAAACTTATATCGATCCAACACACCAAATGAATCTCATGAACCCAGTAGTTGGGGAAGTTTTTCATGTTGGCTTAATAAGAGAAGAGCTACCTGAGCTGGTTGTTGCCTATCGGTTATTCAGGAGACCGCCATTTGTAGTCTGAAGTGACTGTAGCGTGCTAATTTATTCCATGTTTTCATTTTATCTTGTTCTGGTGTATATAGTTCCTTAAGTGGGTTGGAATGGCTATTTTCATTGGTTGAGTTGTACAAGTTGTTGACAAAAAATATTATTGACTTCATTCGATCGGTAATTTAACATATTTACTCATTTCTTTTTGCTTTCATTGTATTATAACCGCTTCCCCGTCTACCTCTCCCCAATTTACGTACAAAATCCAGTGGACTTAGTGTCCAACGTGTTGTCGACCGTTCGCGGGAGTGAATCTTCAGGTCGGCCGGTTCCCTCCTCGGGTGCCCCTTCACCGTCCGTAATCACTTCCGGCTCGCGTGGTCTGCGTCTGGACGATCTTTTGATCGGCAATGTAATCCAGCAGTGTTTTGCCACGTCTACAACGTCTAGTACCACGTGTTCTTCAGTTCCCGTACAGTCCATTTCAACAGCTGCTTCCACTATACCAGCTAGCGGTTTGGCGGCGGTGAATGACTATCCTCCTATACCTGCTAATCCGCTGCAACCAAGCAGTTTGGTTTCGCAATCCAAACTTGTTTCAGCAATGCGGGAGTTCACACCTGAACCGCTTGCTTCCCCGGGGCTTTGTAGCACTGTATCACCTAAACAGTCGATGACGGTGATCGGTCCACAATCGGGTCATGGCGCAAGCAATCACATCAATGCGGCCAATACCTGCCCTCCGTATTCATTACAGGGCAGTTACGGGTCACGACCCGGTGGAGTATCTGTTAGCACGGCTAATATATCTATTCCGGGAACGTTCACGCAAAGCTCACCAATTATCAGTCCGCTTCTGGGTGTCAAGCCTGGCTCTGCAAGTAAGTTGTTTATTCTCTAATTGAGCAGACATTCGGTCTTATATATTTTGGAAACTAGCCCGTAAGATTAGTCAGTTCCTTCTCATGGAGCTTTCATCATATGATTTCCCGATGAGGTAATGGAAGGTCTTATTATTCGAACAAAACCAAACTAATGTGATCATACAGGGAACAACGTGAATCTCCGTTTGTTACGCACCAGTATCACCTCACAAGACACGTACAAAGTTTACTGGGTTTATTTGTATCATTACTCCACCTGTTTTCCTTATTTTTATGCTTTTAGAAACTAGCTTTGATTATTTTTTACGCATATTCAACACATGATTTCATCTCATCCAATGAGATAGAGCAATGTTTAGATCGGTCACCAGCACAGAATGTGACTTAAACGACAATTGAACTCGATCATATTTTGTCGTGCACGTTCATCATTCTACCGCACTGCCCCCCGATTTCATTCAATAAGCTGAGGTGGGAAAATAGTGGATAGTTTGTAGATCAACTGAATAGGGAGATTAACCAGACTAGGTAGTTTATCTGGAAACCACAATATACTGTTTTTGGTTTGTTTGCTGGCAACAGTGAATCACAATGGGGCCATTCTCGTTGTCATTTTTCATTTAGTCAAACTATTTCAAACTATTTGCTTGCACAGACTGTACTAGACTGTACTACTGTGAGCTGACCATATGGGTTCACTTTTACTTCCCGATTTTCTGTCCTTCTTAGTTTTATGTATTTCCTTTGTACATATTTTTTAGATTGATAGTGTTCAGCGAATTTCTCTTTACAATATGATATATATATATATATATATATATATATATGGACGTTGAATTCCTCAAGTAAATGAGGCTTGGGCTGAAAAACTGGGATGTACTAAAGAGCTGTTTCGACCTGGTTGGGTCTCATCAGCAGTACGAATCAATGGACCCAACTAGGGATCAAACCCGAGGCTTCACAGGTAGAATGCAAGCATACTACTCAATCGGTCACCGTGCAGTCGATAAGACCGTTTCTCATTTTGAATGTACAAGATATGGCACAAACCGTCTTTGCGAGCTTGTGTCGGGCAACGGACCTCGATCATCTTTGCACTAGCCTCCAGGGTCATAACTCGGTTGGAAGCTTTCATAACCCCACTACTTATTGTGACAAGAATTGAGCTCATCATCCAATCGAATCAAATCATCCATTCCCCTTATATTTATCTGCACGAATTAATTCCATCGGTCCGTTTACTATGCTAGAATGCGGCATTTTATTTTAGACACACTCAGGGCATGAGTCATCGACATGTGGGTTCCTTGAGTGCTTAAGCATCAGAATGAACAATGGTGATTACGCTCGTGGTACTATGATACACACTTCATCAATAAGCAACTTGACTGTTGTCCTCAATACCGCCCCTACTCCATCGAGCGCTGATGTGATACGGTACATGAAGTCCCAGAGCATAGATTTATGGTTACCTTAACTAAGCAGTAGGACTGAGTAATTTTCTCTTTTATTGCTCATCTAATTGATTACTTTAAACCGACTGGAAATAATATGCTGCTTCCAAAAGGTAAAGAGTAGGCGCAGCCTCGGGATCCAGGCATTCTTGTTAATGGACCAGATTTTCTTTATAGTCATGGAATTAAACAGTGGATCTTGTCCGTCCACTAGGGACCTCTGTGCACTTCATATGATGTCTCATCGGGATTTTAAGCCTCGAGTACGTTCAACTTAGAGCAGAAAAAGACAGAACATCAACAAGGATTTTTTCATGGAAAACAGAAAGATGACATCTCACCGAGATAAACAAATCGATCTATGGAAAGGTGTTCTTGTAAAACGTGTCCGACAACCGAGTTTTAAT